TTCAGGAGAATTGCCTGAACCCAGGGGGCGGAGGTTGCGGTGAGCCGAGATTGCACCATTGCACTCCAGCCTGGGTAACAAGAGCGAAACTCCGCCTCAAAAAAAAACAAAAACAAAAACAAAAAAAAGTATTAGGTTGGTGCAAAAGCAACTGTGGTTTTTGCCATTAAAAGTAATTAAAAGTAATGGCAAAAACCGTAGATGGGGTAGTAATCAAAGTCAAGAAAGACAAAGTTTCTCACATGTCTACTATGAAGGGAAGGAACTTGAACATACATTAATTTATTCAAAATCAAGTTATTGAAAATAAAGCCATGCTTCTTAAATATCAAAATTTGTGGACTGATTAATGTCAACTGTTTCAAACTCTTCAGGCTGTATTTATTAGGCTGGACTAGCCTAGGATGGGGCAAGAAAATTAAAAAAGCCAAATCTCAGTGCCTAACCCAATACACATGTATCTTTCTCCCTGATTAGAGTTTGATATGATTCAGCAGCCTTTCTATATCTTGTGGAAAAACAAAACACGTGGACTCTAAGGTTGCTACAGAGAGAATAGAGGTAGATAAAGTACATTTGTTTCTAATTGCTCCAGCCTGCAAAACACATTGTTGTCTTGCAGCAGTTAATATTGTTTTAAATTAAATAGAAGAAGGGAAGGGGAAGTGAGAAATACAGAGTAGCACATAGATATTTGGTAAGCACCACCCATCTGTGACCCAGAGACCCTAGCAGTTGGACAAAAGAGAAATCTTATTTCAGCTTCTGCACTGCAAATACTACACTTCTTCCAGATAAGTGCTATTTTTTTTCCCTGTGGCAGAGGGCTTTTTGAATCCACGGTTCTTGCTTTCCAGACTCTCATAATGTTCCACGAAGTCCATTTGTATGTTCAAGGCAGTGCTTTAATTCCCCTTCTCCATAATTTTCTGTCTTTCTCCCCCATAAAAGTTACAAAACTAATGAAACAGTTAATTGTGTGACATAAAGAAAAACTTAATCAATTGCATTTAAAAATTTAAAATCTGGGGTTATTTAATAATTGCTATAATAATTCCATGGCTTACTGTTTTAAGACTATTATTTGGACCAATAATTGAATCGAATTACAGCAAATCTTTATCAGTTTGAGTCTGTGAACTTCTACTAGAAAATTTATTTGCAGTGACTATACTAATATGGTGTAAAGGTGGCATTTAAGATTGTCCCCTGAGGAGTAAAGAAAGAACAGACCATTTCAGACATTTTAAAATATAGGACATTCTCTTTGTGCCTGCAATTCACACTCACACACTGCAAGACATCCTCTGCAACGATGGACATGTGCAAAAAACAAAAATGTCATGGATCCTCTTAAAAGCTAGATTATCTCTCTGTCTTGAGAATTCAATCTTATTAAACTGATTTGACATTGAATTAAAACTTCTCACCAAACAGTGTGTAATAACCAGAGGCAAGAGGACATTACAGTATTAACATTTGGTCCTAACAAAGGTTAAGTTTCTAGTTGATTTGTCAGTGACTCAATTCAAAGATACCTACTGAGGTCTCTCTCTCTCTCTCTTCTTTTTTTTTTTTTTTTAAATAATTATGACCTAAGTCCTGATTCTAGCAAATAATATAGGGAAAATATTGTATGATTTGTTGATTTTTGTAGCAAAACTTTTCCCTGACAATGCAGATCTATGTAAATAAACCTCTAAATTCTTCTCTTAACATGTTATTATTTCAAACTTAAGGTATAAAAAAAGAATAAAATAGAGATTAAAGGAGAGAGAAAACAGAAAAAGAATAAATAAATGAAAGAAAAATGAGGAAAGAGAATGACTGTAAATTATCATACTTTTTTTTCACTGATGGTTCAAGTTACTGCCTTATTCTTGGTTCAAAAAAATTTTCAGGTGGACTGTACTAAATGATTGCCATTTATCATATCAGAGAATTTGGCACATAGGTTTAGATGGTTTATTGTGTTGTATGCTGCTGATAAATCTACAAATGCAGCAACTGTCACCTTCTCTCTCAAATTTATTTTCCATATGCTGAGTGGTTTTAAAAAATATTTGGCCTGTATAAGTTTTTCCTGTCTAAATTGAACTTGTTTGAATATTAAATGTTTTAAGAAACAGAAAGAATAAGGTATTCACAAATGTACCCTGAGATATCAGCAAACTTGTTCAGATGGTAAGTATCATTCTATGACAACATAGAATTATTACACCCTTTTGTGCAGCAAAGTTATTGAGGAGTTGAAGAATGGATGTTAAGTGTAGCAATGCCTAAAATTAGACTATTGGCCCAGGATTTTTATTCTTTTGCCACTTACAGATGCCACCAAGTTTATCTACTTTAATCATCTTCAGCATTTAATTCATCTGAAGAGTAGCATGAAAATATATTTTTTCCAGATCAGTTTGTCATTTGCCATCTGATCAATAGTTTATATTGCATAGTTAGAATTTCCTATTAAACAGATGTTTACCTGTTGCCTGGCTTGCTCTGACCTTGCTAAGGACATTATTTTTTCAGCTTATGAATGACAGACTATATTTTCCTGTCACTAAGGACTACACTTTTTAAACTGTTTATCATTTTAGTAACTCCATTTATGTATGTGATAGCTCAGTCTTTGAGATCATTTTACTAGTAGATAGGAGATGTTAGATTTGTTCTTTTATAGAAGAATTTTAGAACTTATGACTTTTCTTCGTTCCATTTAATATTGTTACATTTTAAAGAATATAAAAGATTTTAAATAATAGCTCTCTATTTCTACTATCTACTGATACCAATCACAGTGTTTGAAAATGTTGAATTTCGTTGTTGTTATTCTGCTAGTAACACTAAAGTTCCAACTTGGGGGTAAACTGAACTCCATGAACTATGGTAAATACTAAATGGACATCTTCCTTCATATGTAGCTGCCAAGTTAGTAATATTTTTTGCTTTCAAAGAAAGGAAATCTTTCTTTCTGATTCTATTTTAGTTCTCAACAGGTTTTGTGATGGATTTAAGGTTGAGATATCAATGTTACATCACTGTAACCAATGGCTTCATTTTGGTAGTCTTTAGTTTTTGTTACTGTATTAAGATTCTGTGGCTTTATTGTATTCTTCTAACTTCTGTATTCTTTCTTAAAAATTTATTTCTACCAAGGGCTGCACTTCTCTAACTTGTGAAATTTTTGAGCCATGTTTCACATCACTTACATATGTCTAAACCTCAAATCAGTTCCTTTTCTGGACTTTTGTGGTGCTAATATGAATTTAGTAAAAAGAAAAGCAGATATAGGGCATCTATAATTGAAAATCATATTCAGAGGTTTCTTATAAATTATAATATGAATAACAAAGAAAGCATTCATTTGGCATCTGTAAATGATCACTTTATTAATCAATATAAAAACATTTTAAACATTTCTGAATCTGACTTTTTTCAAAGTAAACTTAAGAGTCTTGTATCCCTTATGTAGTTTTCCTTAAGCAGTTTCAAGTACCAAGAAATTCTGCTTTAGGAAGCATAATATATGGAAAGAACAAAGACATGGGGAGAGAAAGACTTGGTTTTAAATCTTAATTACATAATATATTATTTTATAGTTGGAAAACATTCTCTTTTTTGAGTCTCCCAGTTTCCCAGTCCCTCCTGAAGTTTAATAATAATCATACTTATTTCTCCAGTTATTGAGAGGTTTAAATTAGAAAATATATAATGTCTCAATACTTGTTGGTTTTTCCCTCACTCTATTCCTCCTGTTTCAGATGTGTTTTATGTAATAATTGTCTATTTAATATCTTAGCTATAGGCTAGGGGTTACAGAGGTATTATGGTAAATGTTTAACAGCTATGTCTTCAGAGAAACAAGACCCTGATTTGTAGTGCTTATTAGTTTCTGTGGGGGGAATGTAAAACAACGTGACCAACTGGAAGCTGTGAATATGATGCCATAGAGGGAAGAGTTGGCAAGAGATTCACACAATCCCTTCTTGCAGGCTGGTAAGACAAGACCCTAGCATTACCACTCATGTTTAACATATAAAGCTGATTCCTTTACTCTTTCTCCACAGTCTTTCTATAGTTAACTAAATATAAAAGAAAAAATGGAAAAGAATCAGTTCAGCAAGTGAGAGCTTAAACAAAAATAATCAAGTGGAGATGTCTTGTGAGTTATTTAAAGGTTCTAAATTCAAGATGGTAGAAAGAGCTGAAAATTTGGATGGTGAGTCCTGACTTCCTCACTGCCTCTTATCCACTTCTTGTTTTAATGCATACCCTTCTTTAGGTGTTGATTATATGGTTTTACATAAAAAAATAGCTTCTTATTACTTTCTTTATGGTGTTGGTATTCTTATGAGAGATTAATAAACAAATAAAAGCAAAGAATTACAAGTTATGGTGTGTATATGAAGAAAGTGAACAGCTGTCATTCAAACCCTTCCCAAGAGCTAGTTTCCTTCTAGAAAATAGTCAGAAAGGAGATTATATTTCTTCTAGGATAAGATATGAATGCTTCTCCATAATCCCCTTGTGCCTTTTCACTGCCCCTGGTGTTACTGTGACAAGCTCACTTGACTGCCAGTTACTGCCTGGAACCTGCATTCAATTCACCTTTGACAATGGAGAGGTATACGAAGATGGGCCACACCTCCTCTCCTTGAACCAAGCTGGCCTTAAGATTTCCCTCACCTTGACTAAACTTTAAAAAGCTTTACTTCTGACTATATTGTCTTCTGATTTCCCTTTTCTTGGAGCATTTACTATAGACAATTTGCAGTTATAAATTATTTCTCTGACCCTTTGAGATGTACGTCTTCTATAACCCAGAACTTCTCAAGGACTTGAGAGCCATCCCTTTGAAATGTAAACATCAGAAAAGATCTAAAAGATCACATCCCATTTCTGTGGGAAGGTAAAAGACTACTTTTTTGGTAAGTGTTGGTGGTCTTATCATATTGCTGAACCTCATTCTAAGATCCCCCAGTACTTTTCTACTAGCTCACCTTAGCTGGAAAACTCTTCTGTCTTTTGTTTCAAAGGAGTTGAGTTCAACCTCTTTCTTCTTATGATAGTCTTGGTTGAAGTCTTCCTTGACTGTTTAACTGGTCCAGTGCAATTTTTTTTAGACTTCTGTATTGATTTTTCTCTGAATAAAAACACAACTGAAGATCACTGAGTGTAAACAAAGGCAAACTTTCACAGACCAAAACCCAGCAAATGGGGGAAGGAAACTGCAAAGTACATCCTAAATAGGACTTTCTCCACAGCCTAGAGAAAAGGGCCCTTAGTAACCCCATAGAAGTGTCCACTCACAGGCATATCTCACTTCATAACCTTAATGCTTTCAAGTATGTGTTTCACAAAAAACAAAGACAATAGAGCAAGGGCAGCAACAACAATGAAACATCCTCCTTTCTTTATGCCTTACCCTGAGCTTTACTGTTGTTATTTTCTTTTTCGTGGGAGACTTCATCCTATATCCTCAATGATTGTTGTGCCTTTAGTAAGCAACCCTTCCCTTTTCCCACACCCATAGTCAGTACACAGTAGCATAAGGCCAATTGCCTTGAGAGGAGTCAAACAGACACATTCATCACTCTCCAGACCTGATAACTGCGTCATCGCCCGAGCTCATTATCTGGCCTGCCACATGGATTCCCCCGCACCTGCCTCTGCATACCATACGCAAGCCCAGACTCAGCACTAAATTATGCATCCAGCCTCCAGCCCACTATTAAAAAATTCTGCAGAAAAATTTTTTAAAGAAGCCCCACTATACCCTGCCTGACAACAGCCTGCCCCATACACCCCTGGCAGGCCCACTTACCCAAGGTCCCGCCCACCTACCAATGGCAGCTAGTTTCATGTACTTCCTACTTTAACTTCATGTACTTCCTGCTCCTCAACAGCCAATAGAAATGCCTTCTCTTTGTTTCCCCGGTAGTAAATCAAGGCTCACTTACCCAAGGTCCTGCCCGCCTACCAATAGCACCTAGTTTCATGTACTTCCTACTTTAACTCCATGTACTTCCTGCTCCTCAACAGGCAATAGAAATGCCTTCTCTTTGTTTCCTCAATAGCAAATCAATTGTCTGCCCTTCCAATAAAACCCCATGCCCTGAACAACCGGGCATGACTTCTCTGGCCCCACCTTGGACTACAGAACCTTGCCCGAGAGCTAAATAAATTAGCTTCTCACTTTCTTATACTTGCCTCAGTTTCCTCATTTTACCTCAGCGATAAATCTTACAAGTAGGTTTCTCCAACTTAGAGTGTTTAGTCAATAGCACTTTGACATTCTAGGGACAGTCTGGGGATAGAAGCACATTTTATTAAATAGTCTAGGGTAGAAGTAAGCATTCCAACACAAGTCCACTTAAAGTTTTCACCACCAGCATGAGTTGTAAATGTGTTTGCCTATTCATCACATATATACAAAGCAACTGCTGGATCCTACACACAAACATGTACATGTCCCAACAACAACGTATCATAATTCTTGGAGACATTCTAAACACACCAGAAGGAAGAAGAATATTTTCCTAATTGTTTTAATAATTTACGTGGCTGTCTCTTTTACCATGAAGTCAGATCTTTGCATTAGCAGTCATTTTTGTTCTGTCCCCACTACACTGTGCCCTTTTGATTGCCCAAGAATAGGAAAAGGGCATATTCTTGAGTAAAATTGCAACCTTGCTTCACCAAAGTCCAAATGCAGTTTTGCACAATATTTGTTTACTTTTGGTAATCAACATCCTTAACATCTTTTTGGGAGTGAGGAGCAAACAAAAGTGATTCTAGTTAAAATAAAACAATAAACAATAAATAATAGGGTAAGAATAAAGCAGACACTTAGCTTTTTTTCTTATTTTATTGATGAGTTATAAAGTTTCTATTTTAATTAAGGTTTGATGTTATAGCTTATTTAATTTTATACCTTCCATAATGTCTACTACATGACCTTAAATTCTTCAGACCCCTATGAAATATCAGGGCCAGGGAATGTAATAGGAGGGTGGTATTCGACTGACAGCAATGTTACAAGCATATCTGTTGAACACAGCACTTTTCCAAAAGTCTCAGTGGGTTTTTGCATTATTATAGACTTGCTGTTATTACCACACTACAAGGAATTTGGGATTTCAAAACTGACTTTGGAGAATGAGAGGCCTTATTCCCAAGAAATAGGTGTCTTTCTAGAATTCAATATATGTAATTTTTTTGATACCTTTGGACTTTCAGAGTAAAAATTAATGGACATTGGTAAAATTGATGAAACAAGTAAATATATGAGTGACATTTGCATGCCTGCCTTTGTTTCTACAGATTGAGGTAATTGTGATAGCAGTTTTATCCAAATAATACAGTTAATTTTTTAAAGGGGACCTCAGCCTTTCATCCAATTGTGTGTTTCAAGAGAGTAGAATCCAAGTTGCAAATTTTAGTTCTGATTACTGATGACAATATTTGGTTTTCTGTGAAACATATTCAATTTAGGTTTTAGTATTATGTATTATGTATTAGTTTATTGTTATGCTGTTGACAAAGACATATCTGAGACTGAGCAATTTACAAAAGGAAGAGGTTTAATGGACTTACGTTCCACATGGCTGGGGAAGCCTCACAATCATGGTGGTAGGTGAAAGGCACATCTCATATGGTGGCAGACAAGAGAGTTTGTGAAGAAAAACTTCCCTTTTTAAAACCATCAGATCTTGTGTGACTTTTTCACTATCATGAGAACACTATAGGAAGGACCTGCTCCCATGATTCAGTTACCTCCCACCAGATTGCTCTCACAACATATACGAACACAAGATGAGATTTGGGTGGGAACATAGCCAGTCCACATCATTCCATTTCTGGCCCCTCCCAAATCCCATGTCCTCACATTTCAAAGTCAATCATGCCTTCTCAACAGTCCCTTAAAGTCTTACCTCATGTCAGCATTAACTGAAAAGTCCACAGTCCAATGTGTCATCTGAGAAAAGGCAAATCCCTTCCACCTGTGATCCAGTAAAATCAAAAGCAAGTTAGTTACTTCCTAGCTACAATGGAGATACAGGCATTAGGTAAATGCAGCCATTCCAAATAGGAGAAATTGGCCAAAACAAAGGAACTCCAGGCCCCATGCAAATCCTAAATCCAGCAGGGCAGTCAAATCTTAAAGCGCCAGAATTATCTAATTTGACTCCATGATGCAAGAGGTGGGCTCCTGTAGCCTTGGGCAGCTCCACTCCTGTGACTTTGCTGGGTATTGCCCCCGCTTCTGGCTGCTTTCATGGCCTGGTGTTGAGGGTTTGCAGGTTTTCCAGGCATATGGTGCAGACAGTTGGTGGATCTACCATTCTGAGGTCTGGAGGACGGTGGCTCTCTTCTCACAGGTCCACTAGGTAGTACCCCAGTAGGGACTCAGTGTCAGGGCTCCAACCCCACATTTCCCTTCTCCACTGCTCTAGCAGAGGTTCTCCATGAGCACCCTGCCCCTGTAGCAAACTTCTTCATGGGCATTCTGGCATTTCCTTACATCCTCTGAAATCCAGGTGGAGGTTACCAAACCCCAATTCTTGACTTCTGTGCCCTCATAGAAGCTGCCAAGGCTTGGTGCTATACCCTTTGAAGCCAGGGCCCAAGCTCTATTTCATTTCTATACATCCTCTGAAATCTGAGTAGAGGTTCCCAAACCTCAATTTTTGACTTCTGTGCACTTGCAGGCTCATCACCACATGGAAGCTGCCAAGGCTTGGTGGCTCCACCCTCTGAAACAACAGCCTGAGGTGTACCTTGGCCTCTTTAAATCATGGCTGGAGTGGCTGGGATACAAGGCACCAAGTCTCTAGACTGCATACAGCAGAGGGACACTGGGCCCAGCTCACAAAATCATTTTTTCCTCCTAAGCCTTCAGACCCATGATTCGAGGGGTTGCCACAAAGGTCTCTGGCATTCCTTGGAGACATTTCCTCCATTGTCTTGGGAATTTGGTTCCTCATTGCTTATGTAAATTTCTACAGATGGCTTGACCTTCTTCTCAGATAATGGGGTTTTATTTTCTATAGCATTTCCAGGGTGCAAATTTTTCAAACATGTATGCACTGTTTCCCTTTTAAAACTGAATGCCTTTAACAGCATCCAAGTCACATCTTGAATGCCTTACTGCTTAGAAATTTCTTCCATCAGAAACCCTAAATCATCTCTGTCAAGTTCAAAGTTCCACAAATTAATAGGTCAAGAGCAAAATGCTGCCAGTCTCTTTGCTAAAACTTAACAGGAGTCACTTTTGCTCCAGTTCCCAAGAAGTTCTTTATTTCCATCTGAGACCACCTCAGACTGGATTTCATTGTTCATATCATTATCAACATTTTGGGCAATGTCTTCAATGAGTCTCTAGGGAATTCCAAACTTTCCCACATTTTTCTGTCTTCTGAGCTCTCCAATCTGTTCCAACTTCTGCCTGTTACTCGGTTTCAAAGTCGCTTCCACATTTTGGGGTCCCTTTTCAGCCACACCCCTCTCTACTCATACCAATTTACTGAATTATTCTGTTTTCATGCTGCTGATAAAGACATACTCAAGACTTGACAATTTACAAAAGAAAGAGATATAATGAACTTACAGTTCCATATGACTAGGTAGGCCTCACAATAATGGTGGAAAGTAAGGAGGAGCAACACGTTACATGGTTGGTAGCAGGCAAAGAGAGATTGTGCAGGGACACTCTCCATTATAAAACCATCCTATCTTGTGAGACTTATTCATTATATTCATGAGAACAGCATGGGAAAGACCTGCTCCCATGATTCAATTACCTCCCCTAGATTTCTTCCACAACATGTGGGAATTCAAGATAAGATTGGTGGCAAAGCCAAATCATATTAACAATATTTGGTTTTTCTGTCAAATATATTCAGTTTAGGTTTAGTTAGCCTATTTTACTCAGATTAATTTTAAGTCTAAATAGTTTTGTGATGTTTATCCAAAGAAAATGTAGCCACCATCATAATCACCTGATTTTGCTTCCAGATTAAACAACATGTCTGGAATCTTCTAAACATCTAAAAGCCTGGATTATGTCTGTAAACTATACTATTTATTTACTATTCTTAAGAGACTTTATTGTAAGTATTAAGAATGTTAGGGTGGAAGTAACTTAATCATTTAGAACCATGTCTGGCCCTACCTAGGATATAGTGAAGTTATTTTATAACAGAAACAGAAGCATAGTCTTGATATAACCTGTTAGGGATTTACTAATATACTGCAGTGTAATTACTATGTTCTGTGCTTGTAGTTACTCTCCTGGAGTTACATGGAAAGATACCATAATGTTGGACGATTTTCACTTGTAAAACATTCCCTTTGGATTCCTGCTTTAGTACCTCAGTCAAAAAAAACCAGTGTAACAATATTCTCAATTATTATCAATCCAGATTAAGAGCCATAATTTTCATGATACTCTAATTTGATAATCTATTAGTGAACAATGTTATGATTTCATCTCTGTTATTTGTTAATATTATTACCTTGGTTGGAGTCTCATTGTGATGACCCAGAAAATGAAAGTATTGAATTAGATGATGTAGTAAAAATTCTTAGTCCTTGCTAATGTTTCTGCTTTTTGCACCATTCTGGAATGCAATGATGTCCTCTTGAAGTCAGGAGTGGTACTGATTTATTTGAGTAATGACACAAAATCTGAAGTGATGAGTATTAGCTGCTTCAGCCCATGCAATTCTCCCCCTCCACT